CCCATAACACCCAATTTAGAAAAAATATTTTCCCAAATTGATAATTTTGGGAATCGAACCCTATATCTGTTCGTCTAATGTCCGCTGTGCATCCCGTTGGGCCACACAGGTCGTCAATGCACGTTGAAGCAAAAATACTATGTTATGCGATTTACCGTTACCATTTTTTTAAAATATTTGTAGTCTTGTCTTCAAACAAAATGTTTGACGAAACAACCATTATTTTTATCCCGTATATTACGCTCTGTAAAAATTTCATTCGGTTTACTATTTAATAAATTTTACTGGTATCCTAGATGCCCGTCGGCTGGAAATTAATTATTTGGATTGCCCTCTCTTTGTCATAGCCGGGTGGTGGCGGAAATATTCCACGTCATTAGTATGTTGGATATTGGATGGAAAATAAGACCAGGTTTCGCTATTGCAAGGTTTGGTTAAGTATTGGTTATTGCTGATGGCAAATGGTAGTATCTTGGTAGTGGTCAGGATCAGTCATACTGATTATATAATTAAATGTGATAACGTAAATGAAAATAAAAATGAACAAAAATGAAAATGTCTTTATTATCTTTCACAAATGAAACTTGTACTTATACAGGGTTATTTGTAAAATACTATCAACCTCGTAGGACTAAATTACTAACATTACTATTCTTCAGATTCTACTTTCGTACAAAAAAAAAACATTTAAATAGATCGCTCTAAATGGTTATAACTCTGTGCGTCGCAAAGGAAAGCACACAATTCTGTTCTAATCCAATGTACCAGAAAAGTAAAGAAACAGATCATTGTCCCGATCATAGACAGTTTAGTGATGGCCAACTGTACTGCCAACTATAAATCGATTAATTAATTGAATCAGTTGGAATAACTGGGTTTGTAAATAAAATGGGTTTTGCGATTTCGCTGCTAATTACTATAAAAAAAATATGTAATTCAATACTGAGTGATGATATTTCATACATGAGATTAAAAACGTTTTCTTACATAAGCTATAAAAGTAAATTTAAAATTTCCGAAATCAAATTTTTGTCCTCCTTCAAATTCTTGCATTTATATATTTGTTCGATTGTGATTGTGAATCGATTACAAAAACTTTAATTACATTTACCGAATGAGACATTTCCGTACAGCCATATACAACAATAGATTATTCACAAATCTATATTTGAAAAATAATCTCTTTTTCGTTTTGTAAAATTTCATGGAACAAAATTTGATGCTTATGGTGTTAGTAAAATAGTTCTGCGTGGTTGTTAGTGTCTTATAAATAACCCTGTATATATCTATGGTCCCCATATGTTACTGAAGATAGTCTCGTTTGTGAAAGTCTGGTGTCCATACTAGGATAAACCTGTGTCATAGAGCACTAGGGTCTCAACCTTCTACATATAGAGCAAACGTAAGACAGATAGATACACACATATCATAAACCTTCTATGATGTGTTCAAAAACCGCAAATTACGACCAGCATAAAGATAAACTGTTTTGTTAGAACAAATTTCTTATCTGTGAAAATGTTATTATTGCTTCATAATGGAATCATAATAACATCGAATTCGATGTTATTATTACATTAAAATTTCGAACATTTCCGAAAAACAAAACAATTTGATTTGACCTCAATTCTAATATCAGTCGAGATGAAGTTTTATTCGAAATGAAATGTCAATAGCACACTATTTTGTCAATTTCACTCGTTACTTGATATCGAACGATATGATAGTTGGGGCCGACTCTAGTTTGTCTATGAATTAAATAAAAACTACGGTTGTGTGACATGCGTGTCAAAAGTTTTCATTTGCCGCCATTTCGCCAATCGTAACATGCGATTCCTGAACACATCACAGAGAGTTTATAATATGTGTGTAGATAAAGCAGTGTATGTGACTGTACATAATTAGGCATTAAAACACCCACAAACTCACACTCGTGTTTTAATGCCTTTCATTATGTAACAGTCCCATAAACTACTATAGTAGTTATAATTTTTTACAATAAATACAAAAATAAAAATTAATAACTGCTGTTAAATTAGCTTTGAATGTGACGACCAATTTTTGCTTGCCTGTCTTATTTTGTGGCGATACATGTTTGTTGGACGTTTCTAGCAAAGAAATGATTAGATTGAGGATCTATTTTCAGCTGAACTAAATTTGAACAACATTTTTATATGGCGTGGGTGTTCTGAGTAGAGGCCTCGGAATTAATTTCGTTACTGTCGTATTATATTTCTCATAGTAAAGGGAATTGCCTGGAATGGGATCACGGGAATAGCGCGATTTCTTAACTAACTTTACTTATATCACTTATGTACTTACTTATATCATGGAGAGTGTGCGTTGGAATTGCACGATTTAATTTCGTTTTCTCCTTTTCCTATACTGTGGATATTCTAAGGATCCGCGCGATGCGTTATACTTTGACATTTATACAGTTTAGATGAGAGTCATACTCTCACCCATTTTGTTTTAAAAAAAACATGTTTTTTGCTTCGCCTGCGTCTTGGATTAATTCATGATTAATTTTGCATTTTATGTATAACCCAAAATTGTTTGTGTATTTTTTTAACCGACTTGAAAAAAAGAAGAAGGTTCTGAATTCGACTGTATGTTTTTTTACTATTAATCCGTAATGTATGTATTAGTGTTTGTTTTTAAAAAATATTTTTGATGTTGGCCGTGGTTTTTTTTTATACAAAATGACGGGACGAAGATGTCGTGTGCACGGTTGTAAACAACACACCTGTCCATATAGTCTGTCCCTATCTACTGACCAGAAAAATAGAGGGTACGGCGGGAGTCCGCGCCAAGCCCTCCGCCAGTAATACGCCTTCACTGGCTGTTCTGTTGGACCCGGACTCTGGGTATGGATTCGCCGAGGTTTTTGGTAGATGCAGAGACGGACATATTTGTCTGCTTCGATGGTGTGTGACCGGGGCATCTGTCTTAGAAGCGGTCTAGACGAGGGCCTAAGGCAAGGAGGCGCACAGAAGTTGCCCTTTAAGTTAGAAACTATGTGCGGACATTGTCACTGGACTCTACGACCGACATCTCTGGTACCAGTAGTAGCTAGTAGAGGATGAGTTAGATATTCTCCGGTCCTTCCAGATGCGTAGATTTATGGGAACTGGAGAAACGATTCGACGTCGGGAGATGAGCGTACCTACAGCGTTACCAACAAAGAGAAGATTTGGTAGGGGACTTCGGAGTCAACGGTCTAGCAGTGGCAACCGTTAGTTGTGGAATGCACAACGGGAAGTGAGCGTACCTACAGCTCCGATACATATCTAGAAAATAGGGAGCGTACTGTATTTCCATCCGAGGCGGCCCACCCGAGGCAGTAGTACTCTTGAGAAACGGATATAGACAGTGAAAACGGTCTGTGACAACCCTGTACACTGGCTGATCCGGGATAAGAACCTGAACTTAGAGGGTCCCTTTGGTTCCACAAGCTATAAAGCCGTTCCTGTATTACCAAAACGGGCACTGCCATTGCGTCCGTCACCCCGAGACATAATTTGACAAGTCCTATGTGTCTGTAATTTCACTAGCGCCCTTACCATTCAAAACCGGAATGCAGTAATGCTCTCATTACTGTTTGGCTTTGGGTTGCACCAAAGGAGCTTCCTTGCATGAGGTACACTTCCTTTCCTTTACGTCTAGCGCATCCTGGGCAACAATTGACGAGTACCCTACGCCGATTGGTGAATTCTTTCACCACGATGGCAAGCATTACAGTGTATGCCATCGCAACGATAAGAAAGAAAAAGAAACTGCTTGGCGGCAGAAATAGGTAAGGTGGCAGTACTTCCTTGAATGAACTCTTTCATTGGGAGCTCTACTGCTATTAAAATACGTATAGATATGTGCCCCAGAAATTTGTTATGACACTTACATGATTGTAAATACTAATTTTTAGATTGTGTTACATGACGACAGAACAATGCGTCAAAATTATGTATATACTGTTTATGTACATTGTTATGTTCTATTAATTGTAAACTTTACAGTGCAAATAAATGAATAAAATACAATTTACTAAGTACTGTTAAAAATTTATAGAAAATAAGAATATTTTGAAATTTGTACTTTTGAGTGAAATAAATAAATAAATAAAATTGGCTTTATTTGACATGCAAAATGAATAAATTTCAAACATTTAAATAAAAAATCAAATTAAAATTTAACAAAAGCATTTCAAAAAGTTTCATGACTCAGCATCTAAGGACTATACTAATAACATAGCCCTAGCTATTATTCTGTTATGGCCTGTCATAAATTGGAACACCACAATTCAAATAAATATATAAAACTTTATTTCCATTTTTGATATTTATTCACATTAATCTTTGTCTAGTTACATTTTCATTTTTGAAATTTACTCACATTCATCTTTGTCTGATTAGATTTGACTTGATTCGTTGAAAAAAGACATTTACAAAGGTCTTCAAAAGGTTTGAAGACCTTTGTAAATGGTTATTAAATTGAATAAAGTTAAAATCTAAGGGACTTGAAGGGACTTGTGAATATTTCAGTAGAAACAATTCTGAAACTATTTGAAATTTGCTTTTATAAATTTTGTTTTCACTTACGCTATAATTTACGCTACTTGTTGTTATCATTCCTTTTAAATCATACCAATCATATACTGAACACTTATAGACCAATAAAATATAAAAAATCTTTCCTCAATGTGACAATAATCTACAGCACGGCCGAACGGTTACCATGCTGGTCTGCCACACAGAGGTCTCGGGTTCGATTCTCAGGCCGGGAAAAATATTTGTATGGCCTACATTTATTTCTCTCGTGAGGTTGGGTGTAATGTGTACTAGTATATGTGTGTATCCATGGCACCCGCGATACAGGGTTTTCTAGTGCGCGGATATAAGTGTGTACGTTAAAACAAAACAATAATTCGTTAAACTCCTGTAACATATTCCATACCTCAGCGTCATTACATAATAACAAAGTAGTAACAGCGTTGTTTTTTCCAGTTGCACCCAAGGAGACTTTCTCAAGGTCTACTCCGAAGGTGGAACCCACGGTCCTGGACCTCCTGGCGTCAATGAATATTCAGCCTGGTCAAGAGCTCTATGTGGAAGTAGAATGGACGCTCCACCAGCTCTTTATTCTCATGGACCATTATTGGTACTGGAGTTGCACACAGGAGACAAGGAGACCAATGCTACGGGATTCATTGGAACTTATAGATTTATTGATAGACGTAAGTATGATGCCATTAATTGTACAATGTTTTGATTTGCATTCTCGCCATATTTATAGAGATTATTCTATATCCGAAATTGAACTTAAATCACAAAAAAAATCGCAAAAACAATTCCAAAATTATTATTTTTTTATTTCATTGCGCTAAGCACCGATTCGCAATCACCTGATCCAAAGATCAATAACTTTTGCACGGCCCTGTGCTACCAAAAAGCGGACCGACCAAGTAGCCGCCAGTGTTGTTCTTTCTCTTATACAACTCTTCAAACATCAGCGCATGCATCCTGAATCAGTGCGCTCGCTCACGCACTGGGATAGCCGCTTGAGATCGCCACAATCAATTCTATCTAGTCTATCGTGAAATGCGCGCGTGGTTTGTTGTGTAAATAAGAGATTTTTCTGTTCACAAGAACTGTGTTACGATCAAGTGCTTCTTCTCATTATGAACGACAAGTGCAAGCGTGATTATTACTTATGGGGCGCTGTGAAACGTTTAGTTTACACGGAGAAGATTACGAGTGTTGAACAATTCTGCGCAAAAACCGTCTCCGCTTTCAAACTTGTGAAGTCAACTAAGTCAGCTTTCAAACTAGCGCTCAGAAAGTTGAAACGAAACTCTTGACAACGTGCAAATTTTTGCATATCCAGTGATGATGGACACTAGTAGGTAACCTAAAATTGGTAAGTACCAAATCTAAATTATAAAAAAAAAAATTTTCAGTCGACTTCCCTAATTATTGTAAATAATTAATAAATTATAAAAATACGTAATCATAATAAATAAAAAATAGGTGATTAAGTGATCGAGAAAGATTACGTATCGTTCAAAAGCGCACGGGCCCCATTGGGGTCACTGCCCACGAGCGGTGCATACGATTTAAAGATAATTTTGCAAAACTTTACAATTAGTCAGAATATTGAACAGAATATTTTTGATGTATTTTAGATGATTTAGTATTATTTATATTATTAATTTCTTAAATATGGCGAGACGAATGCAAGTCTGTTAAGTATGGATAACTCACGGAAACCGCTGTGTTGCAATCACCCAATTATTGCGACTTTCGGCACGAGGCTCCATCACAGCACAACGTGATGGACCAGTTGCAGCACGGGGCGCTGATGTAGCGGAACGTGTATCGCAATAATTGGGTGATTGCAACACAGCAGTTTCCGTGCGTTATCCATACTTAACAAGTCAATAAAAAATACATAAATTGTAGATAATATTGGACCCCACGTCAATGACTACAAACAAATTGGAGCCCGTATTTTTAAACATTTCCTCATTTCAACCTTCACTCGACTTAACGTTATTTATAGGAATTTGATATTTTAGTCGATATCAAGTTCACATAAAAAACTTCGACCTTTTTCATTCAATGAGAGGCGTGGTTGAAGTAACTGGAATGTAATCTGAACGTCCTCGACTTGAAAATAAAACAATTGTTATGATTTTGTAGGCGTCTCGCGCCTGTGTATATATATACAGCACATATATGTATATACAGAGTTTTTTAAAATGGGACAGTGTGGACAGACCCAAAACCATAGAAGATACAAGGAAACAGTCTTAGAAACCGTTAGGTCTTTTTTTTATGAAAACAATTTTAGTACAGTAATTTTTTTTTGTCAAGCCTGAGTTGTCCATAAAAAGAAATAAAATTCATCAAAATTTTTTTAGTGTTAGTCGACTCACTTTCACGAAGGGATCATTTCATTGTAAGGGGCTGAAAAAATCGGGACTGCCGAAGGTGGTGAAATTTCATAAAATATTCTTCATACAAAATGGAGCTTGAATTAAAAATAAAATTGACAATATTTTTTAAATGGTAATAGACTCAATTTCTTTTCAAAAAATTATACATCCAAAATTGTTATCACAAAAAAAAGACTTAATGGTTTTTAAGACAGTTTCCTTGTATCTGTGGTTTCAGATTTTTCCATATTGTCCCATTTAAAAATACTAGATACGAAATGGGTAGTGATTACCGGATATCCGGCGAACACTTAGGCCGGATATCTGACCGACTGCCGTAAACATGTCGCGACCGGTTTACAGCGCGCATCGCCGTGATTGATTGATTAGTGAGTGATTCCACTTTCACATTAACGCTTTGATTTGTTATGGTCACTTGGTTTTTATAAAAATGATTAATTTATTCGATAACGCAAACAAACACATAACAGAAAAATGTTAACAGTGAAAACAAATCGCAAATTTCTCAATATTTTAATGTCAGTGCTGTTTGTTTATTGTGCCGAATGCTAATTTCTCGCGGTGGAGAAGGAAAAAAGCAATTACACCATTAAGTCCTTAGGTTTTCACGATTGTTACACATAGGAAATGAAAGTATTTTTCCGGATTTAAATCGTGTACAACCGATTCGGGCCCTTTACAGGTACCTGTAAACTTAGAAAACGAAACGTTGGTTTGTTTGAAAAAACAAATATTCGCGATTTAAATCCGGAAAAATTGTTTCATTTCCAATTACACCATTCTTTGGCTATATTAAAATTTCTAGTTGTATACTTGATACTCTTGCTACGCCCGTATTATTTTCTTTCAATTTGATTACATTATAGTTTGTTTGTTATCTAACTAATTCTGAGCCTTGATACCAGACTTGCAAAAAAAAAAAGTAATCCACTTATGTACACGTTTCATTATTATAGACACCTACACATTGTATTTGAAGACAGTTAAAATCGGTCGTGATTGCAATCATTTCATTTGGTCGTCTGGCAATACCAAGTAGTACTTAAAATTTAACAAAGTTGACAAGGGTTTATAGTGAAAAACTGTTCTCTGAAACTGGTCTCGTTTATGAAAATAAATATAACCAACATCTACCATTGCCAAATGCAGAAAAGCAGGTCTTCATTCACCATAATTGGCCTGTATTGAAATTTGAGTACTAAATTAAACAGATAACGTTATCTAACTTCATAGTTCTTTCAGTTACAAATAATTTCATCTTGTAAGTTCAAAGTATGCGATTTTCATATAAATATTTTTACCTTTTTTCTCCCTCATAGGGGTTGAATTTTGGAAAATCGGTTTTTAATAAAAGTAACATACCTTCAAGTTTTGATGTTTTTAGGAGTTATAGTTTTTGCTGTGCGCACGTCTACCAGTGAATTGCTCCGGACCTTAATCCTTTATATAATATTGATTACGATGTTATATATTATATTGGAAATAAGAAATTTTTTTAGGATCTATAATCGACTCAGGCCAGTCAGCCATGATAATGCAATCTGTCGAGAGCCCGTAAAGTTGGTTTGTTTGAAAAAAAAAACGGTAATTTTAAATCCAAAAGAATAATTTCACTCCAACGTAGCCACGAAAACTGAAGACCTCATTGTAAGGATTTTCTAAGGGATTTTTTCTACTAGTTTGTGCACGCACTGATGTGCGCGGAGGTAATCATCAAACACAAGATACCGCGCTATCTACGTTAAGAACTCCCAGAACATTTATTTTTATTATTCGGTAAAAGTTACCAAACAAGTTTTTTTCATTACCATCTAACAGTAATTTTAATAATGCGATTATCTTCTTCTTAACGTATGACGATGGCATGCGCTACAATGCTTGCCATCGGTGAAAGGGTTTGCCAATCGGCGTAAGGTACTCGCAGATTGTTGTCCAGAATGCGCCAGAAGTACAGGAAAAGAACAGTATGTGGTTCGGGGTGGCTCCTTTCGTGCACTTCCGCAATTGGCAATAGAGTTTTTGATGCACGTATTGTCTAGTGATATTGAAAAATATTCAACCTTATCACACACCTTTTTTGCTCCTAAGCACGCGTGCTGGGGCACAATTCTGTTAATTTTATGATAATATTTGCTATTCTGATAAAATCTACTTGCAATGGCAGTTAGTACAGTTTTGGTGTAATTACAGGCACATGTCAACTTATGTTTCAGGGTGACGGGCGCAGTGGTAGTATCCGTTAGATCTTTGCGATTTAAAGCTCTGAGTGGCGCTGCAATTGTTATGGACAGACGTGTAGCTTGTCATCAGGCGCACGGCTTGTTTGTCTCGCCACTTGATATAAAACAAAGTTCTTAGGTTATAAAATAATATTATTATTATATATAAAATCTATAATATTATAAAATTATAGAATATATTTAAAATATATATATATATTATAAAATTTTTTTCGCGTCGCCGCTGCGTCGCTGTCACCGTACCAGTGCGGCCCCGGCCTTAACTTTTAGCAGAATACCAAACGTACCAAGCCCTGCCATTGACTAGTGTCAATGGCATAGTATACCGACACACATCTGAGATGATTTAAAATTAGTGGATTTGGGACCCTGACCTCCTTAGTTACCGTTTTACAACTTGCCATATTCCATCGCGAACTAAAAGGTTTGATGACACCTTTATTTGTCGCACAGTTGACGAATGGAACTGCCTTCCAGTGCATGTATTCCCTCGTTGTTATGATATTGGGTCCTTTAAATGAGGCGCGAAGAGGCTTCTTGTAGGCAAACCAGGTGATTGCATCAACACTGCATTAAGTTCCTTGGATTGCACTTTACCTTTAACATCAGGTGGAGTGGTAGGTCCACTGCCTGTCATGTATAAAAAGAAATAGATGACCATTTACTTTGACCCTCCTTATGGCTTTCTTTGCCTTAATTAGCTACAAGTTTTACACGTTAGGATACTCGGTGTTTGCGCTTGTCATGTTCCTTCTTACGGTTAAGAAAAAGATAATATATTCTTCGCTTAACTCTATTCAGGGGCAGTTTCCGACTCGCAGCGAGTAAGTGCTACAATGACCTGCCGCCTCCGGTAATAATGCCAAAACGCTGTATTCTTTCAAAACGTAAACGATGGGTCCTGTATGTGCAGAAATCAAGTAGCAATTGGTCGGGGGTTAAATTCCCTAGCAACACAAAATTAATAAAATATTAGATTTTTTAAATTATATTTATACAATTTTTGTACATCATTCATTTTGTACCTACAGTTATGGACACAGGCGTGTAGCTTACCACCAGGCGCACGACTTGTTCGTTCCGTCGCTTGATATTATAAAAAAAAATCTATTTGCTAAGTTGTATTGAAATTGGTTACCGGAAAGTGCGCGAAACCGGATTCATCCCCTAGTTTGCCACCCTAAGATGTGGAATATTTTCTTCAATTTTAAATGGAACTATTACTGAGGTACCCTCTTTCCAATAAAAAGATTTAAGATTAGTAGTAGATTAATAGAAGAAAGAATCATCAAAATTGGTTCACAATGTTCAGTTAACACACATGCAAAAAAAACACCGTCGCTTTGAGATCTCCTCCTTTTTTTGGAGTCGGTTAAAAAACATTGGCATTAAGTGAATGTCGTAAGTTGGCCAACTTATTATTGTTATTTAATTTTCTGCAATGGCGGTCACTAGGTTTAGGCCAGTGTCAGTTTCGATGTACGTAATTTAAAAAAATGCTGTCGATTCAACACTGAACTTCTATTTATATGGATGCCTCTCTGTTTTGTGACCTGTGCGTAGAAGCGTCCATGTGATTCTCTAAGTTTTAAATTGTGGTAGTTAATTGATTATTTCCAATCTCAAAATGACCTGCGTCGTAGAGAGAACGTCCCTGGAAGATGAGTTGTGGTTCGGCGGAATGAACTGATAGTACGACAAGGAGCGAATATGTTATTAAATATGTTGTTTATGTACACAGCAAGCTAAACCAGTGAATAAACTAGAGTAGTTAAGCTACGTAGAACTGTTATCTTAAACAAGCAAAATGACAAGCGTCTTTAGTTAGAAGGTAGTAATAATAAACTTGTGCTATACTTGAACTATACCTGAAATGCAACTTTGAAGCATTTTTAAAAACTTGTTTAAATGTTATGAAACTTATTTATTAATAGAAAATTTTAAACTACAGCTCAATAAATACAATAGAAGTGGCCGTGGTACATGTGTAAACTTGAGCACAGTCTGCCATTTTCGCTTGTGCATATCAATTATCTCGCGCAAAATCGTTGAAAAATGCCTTTGCTAACTTTGGAGTTCAAAAGTGATAGTCGCACGTATGTGGTGTTTCATATGATCGTTAAATTTTATTATATTTAATTTTAACAAATTTTCCATTTTCTGCCTATCGTCATAGGTTTTTTGTTATAAGAAACGAAAGGAAATTTTATACCGCTGCAATAATAAATACAGCGATAATTTAGTTCTTGTATCAATAATACTTCTTCACAACGGAATATTTATGGATTTTGCAAATGATGAATTTTTTTAACAGATTGCTAGCTATTCTTCCACAGATAATACAACTCGAACTAAAATGTTATAAAAGGCATAAATGCATGCAGCTACAATGTATTAGATATGAAATAAATCATCAAATTGTAAAGTACTGCAGATTATAAATTCACAAAATAAACTTAGTAAAATAAAGTTAAATTGGAAATACTTAGTTTTTTTTATACTTCAAGTTTATGCGAAATGTACATTCATATTTTTCGAGCATAAAAAGTTTTTGCTTGCTCTTCACTTAAAAAATCCTAGTTCGATGTAAAAAAAAACCTTGGGCATAATTTAGAACATTACTGCAGACTTTATAACAAGCAAAATTTCATTATAGTTCTGTACACAGATCTATAATGAGTATTATAGTTCTGTATACAGAACTGTAATGAGTTTTAAAAAACGGTTAGCCTAAAGGTCTTGCAACCCGGCCCTTCTAAAAAAATTATTAGTAAAAATATAAGCGACACTTGGTCTATTCTATCTCTTTGATTTTTGTTTTATAGTGTTTGTTTGGTTTTCGTGGATTTTGTTGTCATGGATTGTTAACAAAATATACATTAAATATTGGTCGTGTTTCATTATTTTATTTACTCGTAGAAAAAGGTATTGTATGCCATCATTAACATAACAGCATATTGGCAAAACTCAATGCTCTATATAGAACTTATTTAAATAATCAATATAAGCACTACGGCACAAATACAAGTAGTGACGTTTTTAAGCACTATCCGTGAACTGGTTAAGCCTTTCTCAGTTTTGTAGTCTTCTTGTACGTAATTATGATTTCACACCTCTTAAATTTTTTATCATGTCACTCTGTCGAGATGTTCAATCAAGTTGCTAATACATTATTCAACATTTGTCGAATGCCGTTATGTTCTGAAATTCCGCGAAATGAAATCACGTCCATAATTTTGGGCTCATCTATATTGGTCTTTTGGAGGAAACCTTCAAAAGAATTTCTCGCGAAATTGAAATTTTCTCCACGTACTTTTTAGTTATTCAGTTTCAAGTTACTGTATTTATCTTATTAAATATCATAATGTTTTTAGTACCACAATATTCATATTTTTTCGTGAAAATACTCCACTGGTTTGTTGTTATTATTCTACAAAGATCAAACAAATACAGAGAAAAATTTCTTGGATTCGGTTGGATTCGTACCAGAGACTTTTTCGGCAAACCTATAGTAAAACGGTTTAGGTATCAACGGTCAAGTGTATTTACTCAAACGTACCTACGTATTTAGTTCTTAACAAGACAGTGAAAGAAAATATAATCTATTCGCAATTTTTGTATAGTCTCTTATTCCACCATAAGTGTTAATGTAAGGCGCTGATTTAAAACATCAAAAAGTTATTTATTGTAGATTATGAAATCTGATAATTTTTACTAAGAAACTATTTACTAGGCATCAAAGAGAGCTACCTCTATTATTATTATGTACATATTTACAGACCTTTAAAATGCAAAACGTACGATCTACATCTAATCATTATGAAACGGTCATCTGATGAAAGCCAATTTTTGTAACGAAATTGTACATTGCAAAATGAACTTAATATCAAGTATATATCGTACAAAGTAGGTAATAATATGATACGGTGCTGAGCTACGGCATGAGTTAGCAGACCTTACGAATTTCTCTACGTGCTTGTTGCAGATCTTTGTTTTTGGTTTTAATGGTTTTTAAGTTATCTATGAAAAACAGGTTATTTTTGCCGTAACACTCTGTATGAGAGATATAGGTTTTTCACAGTACTACGGCAAAAAAAAATCATTAAAGCCAAAAAGAAGAATCTACAACAAGCACATAGAGAGATTCAAATTACTGTCTTAACTGCCTCTGTGGCCGAACGGTTACCATGCCGGACTGCCACACGGAGGTCCCAGGTTCGATTCCCGGGCCGGGAGAAATATTTGTATGGCCTACATTTATTTTTCTCGTGAGTTTGGGTGTAATTTGTGGTTGTCTATGTGTGTGTATGGCACCCGCGAGACAGGGTTTCCCTAGTGCGGTGCTATGTTGAGTGTGTGCGTTAAAAGTAAAAAAAAGGTGTTTAGAAATAAAGCGAAAGGTAAATATTTAAGACTTAATATTTGTGACCTAGATCACAGATTATTTAATAGTTCCTACGTGGCAGATACATCACCCTCATACAAAATCCAAAATATCTACGTTATAATAGCATACTAAATCTGACTAATGACATCAGGCACTCACTACGAGGAAAAAGGAACCTAAACAGGCGCTCGGAGAGGTGAAAATATGTTGCCCGCCATGTGCAGTCGGGCGGAACCGAATGCGCTAGGGTTGTAATGTAAACGAAAGACTTGTCAGACTTTGAAATTACAATTTTTTTTATAATATCAAGTGACGGGACGAACATGTCGCCCGATGACAAGCTACACGCCTGTCCATGACAGTTGCAGTGCCACTCAGAGCTTTAAATTGCAAAGATTTTAGGGGTACTGTTACTGCGCCCGTAACCCTGAGACATAAGTTGACAAGTCCCATACGCTTGTAATTTCACCAGCACCCTTACTCTTCAAAATCACAGCACAGTAATGCTGACATTACTGCTTGGCGGCAGAAATAGGTAAGGCGCTGCCGCCTTACCTATTTCTGCCGCCATATTACCCTGAACGAACTCTTTCACAAGGAGCTCTACTACTACTAAATTTAAACTTACTAAACTTATTTATTTAGTATTAGATAATTATTATGATATACATAGTGCATTATAAATATAATGCGTAAATCGATGGGAGAACGGTTGCCACTCAATTTAGAGGTTGATTGTTCGAATCCCTAGGAAGCATGTACCTATAGCTTTTTAAAGATTATATACATTTGTGAAAGTTTAGTAGTAATACCTATCGCTAACTATTAGTAAATATATTAATATAAGGTAAACATCGTGATGAAACCTGCACGTCATATGGTGAGTATCCCTACTTCTATAACTATCCAACAATAATGACGCGATTTCGACTTTGCAACGATTTATTTTTACGAATCCTGGCATGTGACCATTCAGATGTGCGTGCGACACTCTCTGAGCGCTTGCGCCGACGTCGGTGCACTCAGCGGTAGGCACTTATCGCGTAACCTGGAGCGGGTGACGGTGCTCTGCCCTAACGTATCATAAAAACAGGCTTTATTTTAAACATGTTTCTTTTCCAAAATACTTGCGTCTTCTGACAGGAAATTTAATTCTTAAATCTTTTTTACTCTCTGTTATTAATTGAAAATTTGTTCTTCAGCTTATTTTTTATTTTCAGGAAACTTCGAAACAGACGGAGTACAAGTTGCAGAGACATGTGACTATATCTTTAGCTCACAACCAAATCGACCTGCTCACGGTCGACTATATAGTCCAAGATATCCATCTAGCTATCCCAGCAATGTGAGGTGTACTTACCATTTCACGGCTCGGTAAGTTTGTTTGTTGATCGACGTGCGTAAAGGCAATACCCTGAAACATTCTTTGGTTAATAATACAAAAAACTCCTTTATTTACAAACATTACGGAGCAAAATCAAATTAGCTTTTTAAATGATTTCGTAACAAAACAGAGAGGGTAACTCATTTTGACAACCCCTGGCTTTTAAACGAGGTTGTGTCTTAGGAGGCGGTATTTAGATAAGCCCGTCATCTACCAAAAGGGATGCGGAGATGAACTGTGTTCTAGTAACCAGTCGCATAGCTTTACTTTGACTGAAATAATACGGAGACGTTAAAATAATGAAATACTACTGTTTGCTCACAAATACGTTTAATCTCGTCAGTTTGTATTGGAGTATTAGAGAGGAGACATGTTCGTAGTTTCTCAAAATTCGTTCATCATGTTCGTTAAAATGACGTACAGGATATTTCATATTTGTGATTTTATACTTATACTGATACCATTACTGGTCCCCAAACCTCTGCCCTAAGTAGGTACGTAAGTGCCTATATATTTTCAGCTGAAACCCATATCGGTAAAGGAGATTACTGTGATGATCACTCATTCGATTTGCATAGTGGATGACTCAAACTTTTTTAACATTATGATAATACACCGGGATGGGACAAGGTTAACACCGAAGGAAAATTAGGAGTTGAATTTGGCATTTTGGAAGAAATTTTACTCTCGATACGGCGAAAATTATAACGGTTGGAATAAAAAATTTTTATTACGTAATCGATATACGACGTATTGCAAACTCGATGGTTGTTACTTTTAACACAATTTTGTGTTGTTTCAAAAGATCTAGTTGTTTTGAAACCTTTATTAGCGAATCGACTTTTATTTTTCATTCGTATGTGCCACTTCAATTTGAACTACTAGCATATTACAATAAGACAAGTATGGTAACTCCATACAAACTGTGATTGCATGTGGGCGTGTCCGCCGCGTGTCGTGTGGATGCACACATTCGCATAATATTCAAAGCCGCGTGAGACGACGGACGCTATGTAACGTGAGTCCATTGCGAGATTATCAAATTCAAATTAAAATTCAAATTTCTTTTTTTCGGAATGTTCATCCATAGAGGTTAGTAACAAAGCTCTTATAAATAGAGATAGTACTATAAATAATATGTTTTTCTAAAACTAATATGCAACCGGGACCAGTGCTCGTAAAAAGAACCCTGAACCCTGTTTGCAATTATACTCAGGAGGCTGTTGTCGCTGCCACGAATTCTATGCACCAGGGAAGCCGCTCTTTTTCGCATGATAGCTGCAAAACCATCGACCTTAACTATGGCGAATTCCCGATGCACTGCTAAATCGTGGCAGCTTCAACAACATCCTTTTGTTTGTACAAAATTAGTAGGCGCTAAGAGATTTTAAGGTATAGTTGACCCCAGAGGCTGCAAGTATAAAAAAACTAGCAATATGCCTTGAATAGGTCAATCTTTACATTATCACTACACCTCGCGAACCCACGGGCTAACATGTTGCCTTTTACTGTCAGCGCCCTACGCTCCCTTTCTAACCGGTGTAATAAATCGTCTTTTAAAGATTCGGAGACCCAGTGCACCAGATATTTAAATTCAGTGACTCTTTTAAGTGGAGTGCCACCTAGTATAACATGTGGTACATTATTCCAGGTTTTGTTACCCGCTTTAAAAACCATTAGTTCGCTCTTAGTCGCATTGTACCGTAATCCATGAGTTTCTGCATATTTAGTACATATACTTATTAATCTACGAAGAGCGCTAATTAAAGGGCTCAGCAACACCATGTCATCTGCATAACTGATGTTGTTCACCGAAATTCCATCTATCGAGCATCCGACCTTGGTATTGCTAAGCTCATCAATTAATCGATTCATATACAGGTTGAATAGACTAGGAGAGCTTAATCCACCTTGTCTCACACCACACTCCAATCTATACATGCACGATAACGAGCCTGCCCATCTAACGTAGTTGTCCTGGTTATTGTACCAGTATTTAAACAGGCCTGTTACTTCGCTCGGAAGACTGGTCTCCTCCTGCAACTTTTTCCACAACCTGTCATACGGTACAAGATCGAAAGCTATGGACAGGTCGAGGAAACAAGCATAGATTGGTGTCTTTCTGAAGGTACAATACTGGACAGTGTGCTTGAGGCTAAGAATAACAGCTTTTGTTGATAGACCTGGTCTAAACCCAAATTGGGCATCATTTGACTTCATGTGATTTCTTAATTGCTTGTTAAGCAGACTGTCCAGTACCTTACCTATTATCGTAGCCAAAGATGTAGGCCTATAGTTACCGATACAAGAAATGTCACCCGTCCTGTTCGTCACAATAGGCACTACCAGAGTTTTCATCAGGTCCTGGGGCAAGTAAGAGTGTCTAACGCACAATGTGAAGAACAAGGCGAGTACTCTAGGCAAGTGTACGCTGCCATACTTTAAGTATTTCACACTGAGCGAATCATGACCAGCCCTCGGTGACGGTTGCAACTTCTTTCGCTGAGAAACGTACTTGTTGTAGTTGTTCATTGGCCTTGCCAGTGAGGGACTGACCTACAGCAACCCGCAGAGATGACTCTATCTCAAAATGATTTTTAAACAACTCCGCTATCCGGACCGGCTCGCTCACACCCTCAACACCAACAGGGAGATTCGACTTTGGGCTTAATTTTTTAGTCTCTTTCCAAAAATCTGAGAATTTTTTACCAGAATGGAGAGATGCTAATATGTCCATATGTATTTGGTTCTCGGTTTTTGGCACCATTTAAGCTTTACTTTAAATATCCTTCTAGAATCATTCATTCTTTTGAAAACAGGTCCGTATCTAGGTTTGCCGCAGTTAACCCACTCTAAAAAACAAAGTCGAGCCTCCCTGTGATAAACTGCCACATATTTATTCCATCCGATTATTCTCGGTTTCTTATTACATTTTATTTTATTTTTATCATAATTGCTATGTATCGCACCACTTGATAAAATATCTATATTTTTTCCATACATTTCATCTAGTATAATTCTGTGTTGTACATTGTTACACATAGTTTCCTTCCTGTTATTAAATTCGTTAGGAAAGTTAATTTTCCTTAAATGGCTAAAATAAAAATTAGTATGTAATTCTATTTGTTTCATATCCCTTTCACCCCATATAATTTTAGTTTTCGGACTTATATTATTTGCAATTTTAGGCCTAAGAATATTAAGATTACATTTTAGTATTAAGGGATAGTGGTGTGACCACGATACTTCATATTTTACACTTACGTCTATAACTGAACTTCGCGCAGTTTCCGATACTACACAATGGTCGATGCAGCTTCTAGACCCATCAATATCACTTTAAAATGTGTACGTATCTTCACCCAGATGGTCCAGATCCACACAGCATAATTTCTGATCCACGCAAAATTTACGGAGCTCCTCACCAAATCTTTTACACATGTTCGCGTTAAAGTCACCTAGTATGAACACAGAGTCGACACTACTCTCCTCCACTATAGCTTGTAATTCACCTAAGCACTCTAGAAATTCAATCAAGTTGTCTACCAAGCCAGTGTCATCAGTAGGCATATAGACCGTAAATGACAAGAATGATCTATCAGCTATCTGCACTTTTATAGCCGCCACACGATTACTGTTACAAAAAATAATAGAGACATTATTAAATACGCTTCTTCGCCATAAAATAGCTACTCCCCCGTACTATGCGAATGTGTGCGTCCGTACACGGCACGCGGCGCGTGGCGATCGCGCACGCATACAAGCTGCGATAATACATTCCTATAGAGTTACCATACTTATTTTATGCTAATAGTTACAGATCGTAATGTTTTTTTAGTAATTACCATGTAATTACACGATTATCTAGATAAAAAAATGAATTAGGCATTAGTATACATGAACACACCTGCATTAAAACATTATTCGGGTTAATAGTAATACAAAAGAAAAGAGAAATCAATACTCTCTTTTTATTAATTGTGACACCTTTAATTGTACCTTTGTTGAATCTTTTTACTTCGAAACAGTAGATGTCGTGTAAAATACTAAATAGAAATAAAATTGAGAGTGAATTTTCAAGTGTGCTGAAAGTAAAATATACTCGGAAAAATATCTTTGTTTCAATCATCTATTTTTATTGAACAAGCAACGTAAAGTGGGTTTTTCGTTAAAAGCTACGAAGTTCCATGCGGAATGCAATCTTAAATACACTGCGGAAGGTTTACTTGTATTTGCGATTTGCGATAATCATATTCTATTGTGTAAATTGAAATATTTTCCGTAATAGATACGTCCATAATTTACATAGTTATACTAAATATATCAAAAAGGTTCAACATATTTCAGATAGTGATTTATAACGTACAACTTTTGCAAAACATTCTTGACGACCTCAGTGGTCGAGTAGCTTGCACACCGGTTTTCATCAGGTCTGGATGTTTGTCGTACCGTCGTTTCCTATTTCCATAACACTAATGCTTTAGTTACTTACTTTGGAATCGGAGCAACGTATGCGATCTTGTTCATCACCATAACCCATTTATGCGTCCCGCATGGGTTTTCTCTCAGGCGAGGGTTTAGGCTATAGTTCGCCACGCTGACTCAATTCGGGTTAGGAACTTCACACGTTTTCCAAGGGTTGTAAACCTTTTTCGACGTGCAGGTTTCATAACAATGTTTTCTTTTACCGCAAAGCTCATTGTAAACTTTAAGTTACTCAGAGGTGCGAACTCGGTATTGAACCCATACCCTCTACTTGAGAGGTGGTAGGTCAAACCATTATGCTGCCTTAGATAATAATAAAAAATAATAGTAATGATGTTGTGTAATATTGTTGTTGAATATAGATGTTGTGTAATATTTATATTTATTTATTTCTCTCTATGGCGAACTAAAAATCTTATATGAATTTAAAATTATTTATTTGTTTTGTAAGTTGTAAATAACTTAGCAAAATACAAATGCCAGCTGATAGTTGACATAAAGCGTCAAACCATTCTGATGTTATACTGTGTTAATGGTAATAGTGCAATGTATGTATATTGCTTTTATTTTATTAATTACGAAATAACTTGTATCTACACATACATTTGATTTTGTATAAATATGCGTTACCATTCTATGAATGAAGCAGTTTGAACAAATATTTCTCATATTTTTTTTTGCAGACAAAACGAGCGGATAAAGTTAGTTTTTGAAGAATCGTTCTTACAGAAAGGGGATGTAAGGTAACTTTTAATAATATCCAACTTTTAATAATGTTCTATTTGAAACTCTTTCAAAATCAATGGTCCTGTTTGTTATGAATGATTTTTTATATAAAGCTGCTCTTCCGAATTGCCGTTAGCTTATTTTGTCACAGTAAATCATGTAACAATTTTGCAATTTGTTATTGTTTATCAAGATTCAATACAATTCCCAAATTGATCCTTCCGGGTTGGATTCTCAAAAGGATCGATTTGGGAACCACCTTGGAATATCTAACTGGAATAGAAATTTTGTCAAAGTGTTATTTATATCCGTGTAGTAATCCATATAAGTCAAAAATATGTATTATGAAGTGGTTTCCGAAATATGATACATAAAAATTTTTGCGAATGTGATTTGCGTTCGCTATCAAACAAATTTTGCTGTAAAGAAGGTTGTAAATTGTTGTAAAAGATTTTCAAATAACATTTTGTTTCAGTTGTTTAAACCGTGCTGATATTATAAAGGTGTTTGATGGTAGAGTGGCAACAGCACCTGTATTGGCAATGCTATGCAATGAAATTGTAGGTACGTAAGATGATATTCATGTGCGTATGTTATATTATTCAAAGAAAAGATGGTACAGAGTATATCGAAATGTACGATTCAAACTAAGTCAATATTAAACAGAATGTAAACTTAAATGGGCAGAAAAGTAAGTAATCTATATTCAGTGTAAGTGCCTATTTTAAACCGGTACTTAAATACATTTCGCTTATGGCAAGGTTACACAAGGTTGACTGCCATCTTCGGCATACCACTTCGCTTTGCAGAAAGGGGCGCAAACAACTCGCTGCTTACACCGTGTCGATTGCCGCTTTTTTGCAAGCGAACTTGTCTGACGAAGGTGGGCCGCAGTTGACGCGCTGCTTACTCCGATAACTGCCGCCTCCTTGGCAAGCGAATTCGGCTAACGAAAGCGGGTCGCATATGATTCGCTGTTTACACTGAACTGACCTTCTTGGCAATTGATTCGGCTAGCGAAGGCGGGGCGCGGTTGACGGGCTGCTTACACCGAGTCGACTGCCGCCTCCTTGGCAAGCGAATTCGACAGAGGAAGGCGGGAGACAGTCGACGCGCTGCTTATACTTCATCAATCATTATATTTATTATAATAAGTTTACGCACAGAGCCACAACAAATCGTTCGAAGCGTTCAACAAACTCATCAGGTTGATAGATATTCCCCGACCTCAGGTGGAAAGCGGCTGCCTACTCGTGTTTTGGTCTAGCGACTCTTGCTGAAGGTGACCGAGTCGCCGATTCCACCAAGTCGGCCCGATCCACTTTGGCAACTACAGTCGTCAAAAGACCCAATTGTTTACACTGAGTAGGCCATCGCCATCGGCGGGCAAGCGAAGGCGACATGTCGACTTATTTAACCTCCTGAGGCCCTGTGTACATCAAAATGCACAAAATTTGTGGAGTGATTCAGATCCTGACAATATTGTTCCTATAATTACGTAATTGTAATGTCACGTCCAAGAATGTAAGTGGGCGTTAAAATAATTATGAAAATATCGCATTTAAATTTGGCGCTGTGTATTCCACAAAATCACAGGGTATCTAGAAATATACATTGTTCACACAAAACTGATATATTCGCTTGGGCGTGACGTATATTATCATTACATATAGTACATTATAATGTACGTACATTACACATGTTTTTTCCATAGCAATTTGCTAGGTCTTAGGAGGTTTAATCAGTTAGAAGAATCTAACGGAATTATTGAGTGTAAACAATTAATTTACATATAAGTGGATTATACAGGAACTGTACAGTCGACCTAAACAATTACTGAATGAAACGTACAATGTATCATAATTTCAGGTTACGAAATTCTATCAACGGGGCCAGATCTTCTTGTCCAGTTTACTGCAAATTCAGATAATCCTGGTCAGGGGTTCAAAGCCAGCTACCTGTTTCAGCCGGACGACAATTCTAGTGCAGGTTTAGTAAGCATATCATTAAGAATAGCTGTAGGAAATATTTGAAAATTATAAACTGGTGACGTTAGACAACATTTTGAGTAGAATGTAGGAGACAATTATAATTTTACCAGTGTTGGAGATTCTTTTTAGACAATCTCAGTGGCCCAACGATTTACATTGTGAATGCAACACGACGACATATTCCCATTATGAAATATCAGACTGAACTATTTGTATTAAGAGAGAAATTAAAAACCATTTTTCAGATTTTAGTCGCGTATATTTGTTTTTAAAATAAATCAATGTTTATTATTATATTTATCAGCCGTAACCATGGGACCTGTAAAGAGCCCGAAACGATGATTTGTTTGAAGAAATAAATATTTGCAATTTAGATCTGTAAAACTGGTTCATTTTCTAAATTGGTTCAGGTTTAAGTGTTGCTCCGGGGTGAATTCCCATGCTCTAGTATTCCTAATACAGTCATATCATAGTTTGAGATAAGGGTAACTGGTGTGATTGTCTGGCACATCATTATTATTTTAGGAGGTGTAGCTAACAGCCCCTTACGACGTTAGGCAAAAATAGATGGACCTGCCCGTAGAGGTCACAAAGGCATTGTCAAAGTTCAGCAACTACATAATTAATGTCACTGTCAAGAAACTATCCAGTCAGTGGCACCTGACTAGTTAGTTTCCTGTGTTTACATAGGAAGAGCCTTTCTTGTATTTTAGCAGACTTAAAAAAAAAGAGGAGGTTATACGTTCGGCTGTATGCGTGTTTCATGTATGTTTTCAGATATCTCCGTCAATTTTGGACCGATTTCGATAATTATTTTTTGTTTGAAAGAGTCCACTCTCATGGTGGTCTCATTGTTGCCAAGTCTGAATCTGATGAGGGGATCCCATAAAATCGAAGGAAACCTTCAAATTTTGTAGGCATGTCCGTGTATTCACTAATATCTCCATCAATTGTGCACCGATTTTGAAAATTACTTTTTTGTTCGAAAGGGTATACTCTTGAGGTGGTCCCTGATGCTGTTCCAATTCGTTTTCAAATTACTAATTACTTTCCGCAAATAAAAGTCGACTTTTCACTTGACTTAATACATGTAATATCAACAAATCACCGTCGTCATGGTGACGGTGAATCAGAAAAGAAAATACAAAATGTACAAAGGAGTCCGTAGCATTCCCACTGTCGCCAAGAAGCATCCAAGAAGACCTGATGACGGGATCCCATGGAAATCGAAAAAAGCCGATAATGAAAACTTTTGAAGTCGGTTTTTTTTTCAATTAAAAATATACAATTATGTAGTTAGAAATTCGCCTTGAAAACAAAAGTGGATTACTTTAAAAATTTCTGAACAAGATAATGCCTCTGTAACAATGTAATTTATAAAATTTATGAATTCAGAAACAAGTGAAACGGAGCCAATTTTGTCATAGGTTCTCATAAAATGCGGTTATTGCTGGTCGACCCCAGGCAGGCGGTGCCAAACGCGGCAGTTTGTCGAAATTAAACACCTCTAACATTATATTAAATTTTCATTTAGGTGTCTCTGCATGTATTAAAGATTTAGTAGATTATAATAATTGTGGTCCCTTTTGTTAAATACCTTTGAATGAAAGTATTATATTTTTAAAGTAAAACATGATCCATGTGCCCTCCGTGAATGTTAAGTCTGAAAATCGTCTTTTGAAATATAATTTTGGATGATAAGTTGTTTGTTATGTATTCTAGATTTCCTAAAAAGGAATTTCAGTGTCAATAGTGTAATATAAATCTCAGCAGGAAAGTATAATATCTAATAGTGTTATTTGTCACTATAAAACGTGCTTTTGGTAGATGATTTATAATGAAATGCATCAATTTTTACATAAAGAAAGCGGTGTGTGAAAGTGGTGAATAATCAAATTAAAGTAATTTAATTGAAAAAAAAAAACGAAACCATAACGCTGTAATCACCTGTCAGTGTCGGTGTAGTCTATTTTTGCAATGTAAAAGACTTGAACGCGTAACCACAAGTTACGCGTTAGTATCTAAATTAGCTTTGTGTAATATTGTAAGTACAATACAATCAAATTCATAATCGTATATATGGATGGAAATTCAATGTCTTGAATATGTTTTTGTATAATTCGATTGAAGTTGTATTTCTTTATGCTTAGAATTTAAATGTGACATTGACATACTTTGAATGTGTTCGTGTACATTAGTATTACATACATAAGAAAAAGGTAACTTATACACAAAAATTATCTTCAGTTCTAAAGCAGCTACAGCTGGCAATTAAAAAGAAAGATGCATCATTTTATACCCATAACGAATGATTAAAAAATATATAAACTGATTTTCCTTTAGGATCGTTCATCGTTCTGAAGTTTTGTTACGAAGTTAAGTTGCATTTATTATATTCTTAAGTAAAAAAGAAAAAACCGTGAAAACCCTACATAACAAAATATTAAGTTTAAAATTTACTTCTTCACAGACGCTGAAACCAACAAGAAGACGTCAGAGGCAATATCCGGCTTAGGACCGGCAGTGAGTGCTGCAAGTAAGGGAACTTTGAATTAACGTAAAAGTTTATTGGAACGACGCTCTTTGTTGGAACATTTTGTATTTACATTGGTTTTTTTATTTTGAGGTAGATTGGATTGTGGCCATGGTAGTCTAAGGCTCAACTCACACTGGCGCAAAGTCGAAGTGTCGCGTCGCATCCTATTTTTCAACTACAACGACTGGCGACGCGCGTCGACGCGCGACGACATAACACAAATTTGTACCTTAACAATGGGAAAATAGAGATGAACATGCTATAGGCGAAAAACATGACGCGTCGCGACGCTTCGACTCTGCGTTAGTGTGAGTTGAGCCTAATGGTTCGATCGCCTTTCAAGCATAAGCTGTGGGTTCGAATCCGGTCTCGCACCTCTGAATTTTTGGAATTTATGTGCGAAATTTAATTTCAAATTTACCATGAGCTTTTCGGAGGAGGAAAACATCGTGACGTGTGAAGTCCCCAACCAGGATTAGGTCAGCGTGGCGGACTATGACCTAAATCCTAGCCCGAGAAGAAACCCGTGCGCAGCAGTGAGATGTATAAAATGAGTTGATGATGAGAAGATTGGAATAATGTACTTATATTGGGTATAACAAAAGGTTCCGATGATATTGCAGCTGGTGATGATGTCCATGATAAAAACTACCTTTAAATAAATTTATGAATATTATAGACATATGAAGACAGCATATAAAATTTCCATGACACATTGTATTTCTATGACACTAATCAATAATGAAATTTATATGTTATATAAACTATTCCATATCAAATTTTCAAAATGGTCAGGACAGGTTGTTTATTAAATAAAGATCACTCCATTTCTCGAAATTGGGCACGTACCAAAGGGAGATAAAACTTTATAAAAATTGAAAGCGGGCATTAGGGGTCTTATATAAATCGTCGGTCAACTTTAAACACCAGTCTAGTGACTTTTGAAAGACGCTTGGGAGGAAATTATTGTGAACGTTTGAGAACGAAGCTTTTTCTAACGAATATAAGTATAAAATATTCTTTTGTTTCTTGATAGCTTATGATAGGCGTTTGAAGATTGAGTTGTTTCGTGGCATATGCTTCAAGCTGTATTGAGACAATAAGTCGACGGGCGTTCTAAATAACTATAGTTATTTGTTTCACCAATTAATAGCAGTTTTAAAAGCTTTCCTTGTAATAAACAATTATCGCTACAAAAGCCGAATCCAAGAGTCACCAATTGCCTATTATTTATATGCAAAATAAAGTACTAACATTTATTCAAATGGTGACCTATTTACCTAAAAACAGACAAAGAAAATATATTCCATACTTTATGCATGACTCCCCACTAAAGTGACACGTCCATTTTCAGCGTCGTCCTGCCATCAAGTATTCAGAAGCGATAAGAGCAAGAGCGGGAAATTGGTGTCTCCCCTATATCCCGCGCCATATCCACAGAAAACGCAATGTCACTACGACTTTCTAGCGAGAGGACGGGAGCGAGTCCGATTAGTCTTCGAAGACTTTAGTCTGCAGAGATTAACTGGAAACATTATAGAGTAAGTTTCTTAAGGTATTTCAACGCGAGCCTACATTTTAGGAGGTGAGGGGACCACCCCTCGCGTCAGACAATTAATATGAATAAAACAAAAACTGACCGAGAAAATTTGGCACAGATTATCCGTCGTTGACAAGTGCCTTATGGCGACTGACGGGGCAGCGGGCGGCACAACGTATCGTTAAACTGTTGGGCAATTTTCAAATGTTGGATAAATGTGAATTTAATAACTATAGGGCTTCAGTTGAAAACCAAAATTTAGCAAGTTCTATCTAGTAATTAAAGAGAAATATCTCCAAGTAAAAATTATGTGCAAAGTTAGATATTTTGTTCCTAAATAATTCGTTTTATATGATTGATTTTGTATGATAGATAGATAAAACGTTTGGATCTACAAATACACACACATAACAGAAAAATATGCAATATAATAAAAAGAAAAAACCCGCAGAGTTGCAGCACTGCCGAACACTCAGTTATGTATGTGTGCTGTAGCAGTGCAAAAAGGCCATAGCTCAGCGTCGGTGTTTACTCAGGAGCAAACAGCTGATTTTCAGCTATAACCTAGAGGATGCCTTGGATACGATAACCAGTCAGCTGACGCCATTTACATGTTGTACAAATAATAATTTCGAAACTAAATCAAGAGAATATAAATATAATGAATTATATTTTTTTTATATTTGATTTAACTGTGTTAAAAATATAACCAAATTGTAAATTGAAATTTTAAATGATTATTTATTATATAAGAGTAAATTTAATTATAAATAGGTAAATCCCGTTACTATTACACAATGTAAAAATTCGCCAACCTAAGCAAAGCGCTGTGGAATACCCTTTTTTTGAGAGTCTAGAATAAGTGCCTTTACCTTTTCCTTCAAAGTGCATTTAGATTTTGGAACTCTTAAAGGTATATTATTCCAACCACGGAAGAAAGAAAAGAAGTGGTCTGTGATTCCAACACTTTGTTGTGTGGAAGCGAAAACTGCCGGTGAACGCTGCTGTTCAATGTCGCCGTACGCTTAGCGGGGCGCGTAATGATCTGAGCTTATGGTCGTGTAGTTTATAAAAATGGGGAAATTGTAATTTTGAAAAAAGATAATCGGGATTTTTTAATATAACAATATCAAACATTAAAGAGGCGAGATGTGCATAGGGCGCACTATAAGTTTCCGGAACTGGCCACGTACATAAACAATATTTAAAAAGTAATTACAACATTTGAAAACAGAACTCTTTGGCTGTAGAATACAATTTGTTTCATCTGATTGTAACTTGTTTTTACATTGTGGCGTCATTTAGAAATTGGTTGTCTACGTTACCATGGATTTAACTCGTGAAAATTTTCGTAGTATGATTTTCTCCGACTTTAAGTGTAATTAAACAGTTCAGCGGAGCTTCCCTCGGCTTCAAACTGCTTTTGGTGAAAAACTACAGATATTACGACTCTTAGGTGGAACATCAAAAATAAATCTACAATATGCATTCTGCACGCGATGTATTAAGCGACTTGTTTTGTATAACAGTCGAGGGCCATAAACAAGATCTGCGTAATTAAAGACATACAGTGATCCGTGATCTCGGATAATAAGTTTCTAATTTTATACAAGACTTTCAATCTATAGAAACAGCTCCTTTCTCTAAGTGTGTTTCGAAACGTAGTTCGCTGTCTAACAGAACACCTAGATTTCTAGTTTCGTAAACCAGGGAAATATTTTGACCTAGAATACTAACTAGTGGTGACTTATTTAATTTTTTTTTAATCTGAACCTTTGATCCAAGCACCGTTTATCATGTAAGAAGTACATCTTATCGTGTAACAAATTAGCACATTGTTTAGACAATATCCTTAGGTGTGTCGTTTATTTTTTGTAAGATCGTTACTTAATAGTAAATACCTAAACCGTTTGACCTAGGAAAACAATTTTTCCCGCTTGTCCTCTACTGACTCGCCTTAACGCCTGTTTAGACCTTTCGACAACACGTACATAAAGAAATTCGTACTGATTCGTTCTGTAGCTCTATTGGAAGAGCGAGTCTCGCAAGACTGGCAAGTCGAAGAAATTTTCCTTTGTGTTTGCTTGACCTTTGTATCAATAATAACGCCAAACTAGTGGAGAATTTTAAACAAAAAATATGTGGATATCATTGTTGTAAAAACATGATATTCAATAAAATGAAATATTTCAGTTCATTAATATTTGCTGTTTAAAGGTAATCTATGGTAAAATATCGGCAAATATTTGATTGATATCTTGGGGAGTAACTTATAGTTATGTACAATTAATTAAACTTCCTAGTTAGTTGATAGAAAGCGAGTAGAAATTCTCAAACGATTTTTGGCATTTTTTGCTTGATAAATTGATTGAAGTATATAATTGATTTGTTATTGCTGTTTTTTCTTTTTGTTTGACAACCTTTTAGTCAATCGCTTATAGCGCAAAGCAATGTTTTTCAAGACATTGACAAATTAGGCGTTGTTTCTCAGCTGCAGTTTCGGTATGAAAAAGAAAATAGTTTTGGGAGTATTTTACTGATTAAGCATTAAAATGTAACATAAAAAAATTAAGCGAAAGACCCTTTGTTTTTTTTAACTTATGGTTCTAGTTTCCTGTAATTTATTATTACATTATATAACGTCGCGAAAGCAATTTTTAGTCTGTAAAAAAATAAGAACCTTGTACGTAAGAGAAACGATAAACAACAAAAACTCAAAGCGACCTAAATTAGATTCAATAATCAAATTCGCATTGTTTCAGCTGTGAGAGTATGGATTCTCTAGACGTATTTTTGTACGTAGACGGGAGACTAGAGAAAATGGCATCTTTTTGCGGGAACGAAATACCAAAGCCAATAATGTCGAATGGACCAAAATTATCGATCGAGTTTCGAGGGATATACTCGTCGAGACATAGTAGGGGATTTAAAATATCCTACTCTTTTGTTGAAGGTAAGTTGAAATGAATTCAGTGAAATCAAAATAGAATGAAAAAATAACACGTTCTATCTAGTAGAAATCCTGTCGTACGAGCGAAATGTTTTTCGGCAATTCTGTCTTTGAATTTGTAATGTTGGACGGTAAAAGTGTTGACTAGAGGGTGGAATGATATGGTTATTTGAAATTTACACCTAAAAGGTGAACCCAAGACACCATTTAATCCAAATTGAGGCAGTGCGGTTTCATTGTTCCTGTTGATGATAAAAGGGGGTTGACAGGATTTTACAGAGGCGACCGTAATTAGTTCAGACGAGAAACACGCAACAAATATTTGAGAATAGTTTTCGTGTCTTTTGTAAAAATTGTTGCGCACTTAACTCGTCTTCGATTTCCGAATAGAGAGATGAGATATAAACAATATTTGTTATAGGTGCTTATCTTCAAAGCGTAACCACACTGAGATATAATCGATTTTGTATGTACCTTTACATGATCCGAATATATCAATATATTTTTTGTAGTTTTGTATAACCATTCTTGTCACGACAACTAGGTTAGGTGGCACTCTTTCGAATGACACGAACATAATATACCAAACATATTTAAAATCAAGTGTTTTTGGGTACATTTCTGTAGTACAGGTGATCCAATTTTGACATTACCAGGAAAAATGTGTTTTAGTTCTTGAAATAAGAGAAGAGTGATGTGCTTCATTGTTTTACTGTTTGTGTTGTTGATAGAATTATACCAAAAATATTTATTGCAGATTACGGGATTGCAACGGGGACTCAACTTTTGGAATTTCCATGTGCCTTTGTATATAATAGCAGTGAAAGTGGAAGGGGAGTGGTGACGTCACCAAACTATCCTGGTTTGTATCCTCGGGATACGGAGTGTAATTACTTCTTCTATGGGAATACATTTGAAAAAGTCCACCTGCACTTTACGTACTTCGACGTGGAAGGTGTGGTTCCGTAAGTAGTTAACTTAGTTCTCAAAACAATACTCTGACATCCGAGTGTTTATACTTAAACCTTAAAATTTCCATTAGTGTAGTTCATAATATCTTAGTTGTGTCTTATTTACTATTAGTACTACAGTACAGTACAGTGTCTACGTGAGCTTCTACAATTTCACTTAAAACGCTTTCATAATTATTTACATTCATTATAAAGTGTAATAATATGTATTTGATACTCTAAACATCTAATCTCCAAGTACTTCCACTGAGTTACCTTTGTCATAGGTAAACCCACTCTCACCTTATCTTAATCCTGCTTGACGTCCAAGTAAGTACCCGACTAACATTTGAAGATCAGATTAGACCTCGCTCGGGTACGAGAGCAACGAGAGGGCATTCATTCTACAATTGATGACTTCGAATGAACCGAAAGGTTTACATTGTAAATTAACAATGGTGCGATTTTCTCGAGTCAATGCTGTAGACCACCTGTAACCTATAATACAAGTCGTATTTACTATCGCTAACAATTTTATGTCCATTGCTTAAAACTTAGAGGTCTTCCTTCAAAATTTTTGTTCATAGTCTGTAGTGAACCCGCAAAACTCGTAAGCCGATAATTTTATCGAATTTAGGACTGACATAAAATGTATTTAAAGAGTGTTATAAAAGAAAAATCATAAACTCAAAAAGATATAATCGTAACAAATAACTTTGACCTCAATTAAATAACGTCACTGGTTGTGTTTCGGGTAACCTGTTGAAGATGCTTGACTTTGTTGTTGTAACAGAAGGTTTAAATAGATTGATGATATCAAATTTACTATAAGACTCGTATCGAGTGGCTGTAGTTATTTCATTTTACTTTTGAATTTATGTTTAGAACAATGAGGTAAATGATGAACGACGAGATAAAAAGATTGTTAATTTTCAACATTGTCCTTCTAGGGAAAAATGAATTTTTGTAGTCAGAAAATAATCTTTAATTCCATTTTTTCTATTTAGTTGCGAAGCAGTATCAGCAAGTGACTACGTTCAATTTTCAAGTCAAATGATAGACATGGACAGCCATAGACATTGTGGACAAATAAAAGAACTACAAGTTACATCTGAGAAGAACTTCTTAAGAATGACATTTAGGTCAAATGATAGACTTGATGGTACAGGATTTAAAGCTGATTATATCTTCTTGAGGGAGTCTGAAATGCATAGTATTACTATGCCGGAGGATAAACATAGCGGTAAATAAATATATCATGTTATTTATGTTAAAACCAACTAATTGATAGAGTAAACAATTATAACTGATTTCTATACAAATTGGCAGTCACAACCAATAACCTAGTACAACTATTTAGAAAATTCCCACGTAGTTTAAGTTCATAGATAACGTTATTAATTGCCATCGTAAATACTTTAAACCTGGAAGACTAACGGCTTTACAGTTTACTCTAAATTCTCCATTACAATTAAGATACAAATGTAATTATAATAACCATGCTATTCAATACCTTCACAAATTCCTCATATAAGAGGATTAAGATTAATTCACATTTCAGGAATATGTAAAGAAGATAATTAATTTTCCTTATTGTTTCAGGAACATCAAAGCCGTGTCTTTCGTCGGTTTTGTTTATAATATTCCAATTGTTAAGCTTAATATTATAATAGAAAACTGTTATTACGATTACAGAGAAAACTATAAACTGAATAAATTATTACTGTTGCTAGTTGCACATTTTTATTTCAGTTATACTTTTGTTTTAGTTTTTTAAACTGCTGAAGTTGAAGCTGAAGCTGAAGCTAAATTTAACAATTGAGAAATTAAGGAAACTATTTTATTGCGGTTCTAAATCGCGTATATATGACTGTATTTCTAATATTAAGTTTTTTGAAAATCATGTTGTTTTACTAACGTTAATATCATAATTTTTTTTTGTGAATTTTTTCTATTAGTTTGTTATAATGATTTTTATAAAGATCGAACATATTTGTATTTTTTAAACAAACCAACGTTTCGGGCCCTTTATAGGTACCACAGTCATAGCTGATTGATGATTAATATCCACAGCTTCGTTTTAACGAATATTATATAGATAAAAAATGTATGGCCTTGTATCATACACACAACAATATTGCAATAAACGAATTAGGTAACAGAGGACCACACAGATATTAGAATTAAAGGTGAGACTAAAATAAAACATGAATCCAATTTGTAAGAGTGTTTGCTATATGGTTTACCACGAAATTTATTAAACATTCACATAAATTGACTCATCCAAAGAACAAAGTCCGATGTGATTATATAGCGAAAAGAGAATAAGTACGTTACGAGAATAATTTCGTTATTCAAACTAAGGCCTATGTAAAGGTGTTTTGAAAATTTATATATCTTATTTCGTTGCGGAAATATAAAATCGAACAACGGTCAATCTGACATCCACAGTAAAGAAGAATTAACGAAATGTATGTACGAGTACTATGTCCTCAGAACAAGTAGTCTTGCATATAGATCTTGGTTCTACGGGTGAGTTGAAATGTCGGAGTCAGTTTTCATTTCAAACGTAATGTAACAGAATTCGGTTTATTGTATGCGTAATGTGCTTCATAAAATGTAGCAATATTATTATGCCGATTTTATATAGCAATATTTTTATTATTCGAGAAACGATTTACTAAGCTATCTACGATCGAGACTATTTTACCATATAAGTCTCGATCGTGGTTTCTTTGTTTACAGTCACGTCAGTTTGACAGTTCAAATAGGGTGAGGTCGTAAAGGGGGTAGCGATATTGTCGTTTGAATCTGATCAGTTTAATCAATCATTTGACGTGGTCCTGTGACATGTAGGTGATTGCAGGCAGAGTACCCATATGAAAATGAGGAGTGAATTTGATGCTTTAAACGAACGTGCTTTAATGATGTGGTTTTTGTATGATATATTATGAACAACCGAGCGCGGCTGTCCATTTAATATCCGTTTTAACCTGATTCTTCTTTTGTACTTTCGAACTTATTACTGTGAAAAGAAGATAAACGAATTAATTGCAATCAACTGACATTATTATTTTACCGCCGACTGATCGATAACGAAGAGTGAATAGGCCTTTATAATTCCACAAATGTTTTTTATTTAATTTGTGACTAGATCAGTAACATGAGTGTTTTCCTCGACGTTTCCCTTACGCCTATATTCTGACATACATGTAATAAAATTCATGTAATCGTAAGCGCGTGTAAGCAAACCACACATCTCTAATGCTTGTTATCTGAACCGGGGCTAAAACGCCACCCTTTGAGCGTACAATCTGATATCTAGTACATACGACGGTATACGTATCCCAAGTTTACAAACTAAACGAACATTATTCGAAATTAGTGTTTGTTGGAGTTGGACGTCTAAGGATCTGGCCGTAAGTAAAAGCAACGAGGGGTTAGTAACGCCAAGTGGATGTAAATTGGGAACTTTGTACGACGTCAACTTGCTCATTGGTCTATGTTCTCTGAGATGGAAACTGGTTTCGTGATTGCGATGCCTCTTTCAGTTTGGAGTGCTTTGGTAACATTTACATAACAAATCTGTTAAAGTTTCCGTAAGTAAATGGTATTATGAATCTTTGTTTGGGTTTGTGTTTGTGATTTTGTTTTATTTTTAAATTTTGTTGTGCCTTTAATCTTTTTGCTCTTTTTTATTAAGCAACATTGAAGAGTGTTGATCACGTAAAAGATATGTATCAGGATCACGGAAGTGAAAGGCTGTATTCTGCCTACCCCGATGATAAAAGTATAAGCAGTCTGGGCACCTGACTAAGAGCCAGACATGTTTAAGAATTTTTTAAATTAGTGTTGGTTTGTGTGTTTTGAGTAGTAACCACAAAAATCCTTGAGTAGATTTGGTTTCATTTGTTTTAAGTACAAGGAATTCTAGATTGAAACCAGCCATTTATCGCGTAAGGTGAAATACAGTTCGATGCAATTAATATTCTGTCTCAGTTTTGCGGTTTAAACCACAACATCTATTCATTATTTGTCAAAAGTTTGACAGACTTTAGTAGGAGCAGTTGCTTAAACAGCATCATTGTCAAAAGTTTGTGATTGGTGTGATTGTCTGGCCCAGTGGCATTCTTAAGTTTTAAATTATGATAAAAGACAACAAATCTTCTACCGTCTTTTCAACCATTCTGTTTAAGGACCGAATCGTGGGAGAAACGTAACCACGTTTCTCCCATGATTCGGTCCCACCCAACACACGAAGAACCCTTCGTGGGTTTTCCAGAACGTATCTACTCGTTGACTCCTTAGAATTTCTTCAGTCTGTCTTGTAGTCGCAATGGTGATTCCTCACCTCACGCTTATCTCGTTAAAAACGGTGTTTTTTTGTAGCATAAACCGTGAACACATTTGAACGGCCGCAACATAAATCCTTGACTTTAAAATTGCTTTAGTTATTCTTGTGAATGGATTTTTGTATAATTTTACTGTTTCCATTATTTCATAATTGCAATTTTGCATGATATCAAGTAACGGGACGAATAAGCGGTACGCCTGGTGGTAAGCGATCCGCCTACCCATGAGACTGTCACTCAGATCTATAAAATGTTAAGATCTGCGAGGTACTGCCACTATATCCGTCACCCTGAGACATAAATTGACAAGTCCCAAGTACCTGTATTTCAGCACCTTTACCGTTCAAAACCGGAACTCATAATACTGCTTGTTTGGGAAAGCTGTATTTACCATCTCATGTTTATTTCTGTTATTCATATTTTGGAATGCTTAAAATTTAATAACATGAGTGTATTGTTTCGCACACAATAACTACACACAATAATTAAAGTGTATTAGGTTTATATGTAATGGACGCCAGTCATTAACTCTGCGAAGGTACGCAATTTGCACGGCCAGAGCAATGTAGATTACTTAATTACGAGAATATAAGCCCCTGCGAAAATGCTCCTTTTATGAACGAAAATGCTTACAGGCTCTTTTAATTTATTTCTTTGTGAACGTTAATGGAAAAACAAAACCCTATATATAGACAGGCTGGT